ATTCTAACCTATTGAAAGATTTTGTTGACATTACCAAACCTTCTACAACTCCACGCACTGAATCTACTTCTCCAGTTGCTCATCACATTGAAACTACGGGTTCTCCAGTCTTTGAACGTTTCAGAAAATTAACTGGTGACAAACTAACAGCGCTTAGGCTTGAAATCGAATACATGCTTGAACAATTAATGATCAGACCATCAAGAAGCCCATGGGCAAGCTTAGTTCATCTTACACCTAAAAAAACTGATGGCTGGCGTGTATGTGGTGACTACAGAAAGTTAAATGCCAAGACAACACCAGACAGATATCCATTACCACTTTTCCAAGATCTTTTCCAATGTCTACACGGAAAAAAAGTGTTTTCAACTCTAGATCTAGTTCGAGCTTATCACCAAATACCCATGGCAGAAAAAGATATACCTAAAACAGCAATTAATACACCTTTTGGTCTGTTTGAATACCTCGTCATGCCGTTTGGCTTACGAAATGCGTCACAATCTTTTCAAAGGTTTGTTGATTCAGTTTTCAGAGGACTTGACTTTGTTTTCGTATACATAGACGATGTAATTGTCATGTCAGAATCTCACGAGCAGCATCAAGAACATCTTAAGCAAGTTTTTCAGCGTCTTCGAGAGCACAAACTAGTCATCAACGTGAGTAAATGTGTTTTTGGACAAGAGCAAGTGCAATATTTAGGTTATACAATCAATCAAGATGGTTATAAACCACCTACGGAACGTGTAGAAGCAATAATCAATTATAAACAGCCAGAAACCATCCAAGAGTTACGACGTTTCCTCGGTGTAATTAATTATTATCGTAGGTGCATACCTGATGCAGCTAAACTTCAAGCACCTCGCAACGAATTTATCAAAGACTCAAAAAAGAACGATAAACGTAAGGTTCCTTGGACACCTCAAACAATCCAAGCTTTTGAAAAGTGCAAACAAAGCATCACAGAAGCAACACTCATGTCTTTTCCAGATCCTAAAGCACCCTTAGTTCTCACTACAGATGCTTCTGACACAGCAATGGGAGCAGTCTTAGAGCAGTTCGTTGATGGTCAATGGAAACCTATAGGTTTGTTCTCAAAAAAGTTAAGCTCAGCTGAGCGTAACTATAGCACTTACGATAGAGAACTCCTCGCAGTTTATTCAGCTATCAAGTTCTTTCAACATTTTCTAGAAGATCGTACTTTTGTGACTAAAACTGATCATAAACCTCTTGTTTATGCTTTGCACAGGAAGACTGAACAAGCTTCACCTCGCCAACTTCGCCAGTTGTCATTCATTTCACAATTTAGCACAGAAATAGTATATGTCAAAGGTGAAGACAATATTGTAGCCGATGCTTTATCAAGGATCAATCAAATCAATATGCCAACAATACTGAGTCCAGAAGAAATTCAACAAGCTCAAACCAACGATGAAAAACTTCAAGACTTGTTAAAAAATTCTAATTCTTCATTAAAATTACAACGTCTTAATGTTGACCCAGAGAAAGAGATCTTCATTTACTGTGACATTTCTGCCGGCGTTGTAAGACCGTTCATCCCTAAAAATCTACGTAAAGCTTTCAATACAGTTCATGGACTATCTCATCCTGGTGGCAAAGCAACCAGCAAACAATTAAAAGCTAAGTACATCTGGCCAGGGATCAAACGAGATGCTTTAACTTGGTCTCGAAATTGTTTAGCTTGTCAAAGGGCTGAAGTGCATCGTCACACCAGATTGAAGCCTAACAACATTGAGGTACCAAGTACTAGGTTCAATCACATCCATATCGACCTCATTGAATTACCTATAGCTGACGGATTCAGATATTGTCTTACAGTTGTAGACAGATTTTCTCGTTGGCCAGAGGCTATACCCGTTAAAGATATGACTGCAGATACAGTATCAACAGCTCTGTTTGACAACTGGATATGTCGTTATGGCACACCATTATCAATCACGTCGGATCAAGGTACTCAGTTCGAGTCAGCTCTATTCACTGCCTTAGCAAGGTTAATTGGTTCTTCGCGTATCAGAACGACACCTTATCATTACGTGTTCCTGGTGAATTTTTCGTGAATCAGGATATGCCAGTAGATCCACAAATCTTTGTAGAAAAATTCAGAGAATACATGAGAAGCATCAGACCAACTCCAACCGCTCACCACACGAAAGCTCGAGTCTCCATTCTCAAAGATTTACACAATTGTTCACATGTGTTTCTAAGAGATGATTCCGTGAAAAAACCTCTCGAACCTCCGTACTCTGGACCATACAAAATTATTCAACGAATAAGTGACAGAGTATTCAAGATTGTTGTTAATGGTGAAGAAAAGTCAGTGTCAATCGAAAGATTGAAACCAGCATACATAGCAAAAGATGACATCACTACTCCAGCGGAAGACGATGTACCTGAAACTCCAAATACTCATCAGTGGGGCTCGGGCATGGACCGGCCGAAAAAGACATATGCCAGGAAGAAGATATCGTTCCCGAGTGAAGGCACTAGGTCACTTGGGGGGGAGTGATGTGGCTGCATTGCACCAACTTCTGCTGTCAATCGACAGAGGCGCAATTGTGCCGGCCTTGGCAGTTGGCAGCAGTGGAAAAGCAGGCAGGCAGTATTAAAAAAGAAAAGTCTAATTTTGTGTTCACGCCACAGCTATGGTTCAATAAATAGTTTAAAAGTTAATTAAGGATTAATAAGTTGTATCGTTTGAATTGAATAAACATTACTATTTTGTTTAAACAATTGTTCTCCCGCTCTTTAGTTAGATTTCCTATAAATCTACACATCTCGCCGAGCTGAAGTGAAAGGCGGAGCTTAGTTTCGTTCTCGGGTAGTAGGGAGCGAAAAAAATATAGTTTTTTAAAAATTTTTCTCGGGCAACAAAACCCCTATTGTCCCAACATCCTTAATTTCACAAACAATCGGGACTTCTCGAAGTCCTATCTATCACAGTAAGTAGAATCTACTGAGTAGATAAAAATGAGACAAATAACAAAATAGTCTTTCCTCTGTGTTCCGTAGGGCAAGCCCACCCTACTTAAGACTTTAAATATTACTTTACCTTCCATTCCAGTAAATAGGACGATAGCTTGGGGGTAAATTTCTTGTCTACGAATCTTTTGGTGACTGATTCGAATCTCGCCAGTTGCTTTTTTTTTTATTCATTAATTAAATAAAATTTATTACATTTTTTTTGTAGCAATACTAGTACTCTTTTTCTTTTCTGGGTAATAGATAAAAATCCCAAATTAAAAAAATTTTTTTTTACTTAGTTTTAATAACAACAATGAACAACTTACAAATATATATACTATATTTTTAAATTCTGGTATTACTTAGTACAAGCCTTATGTAGATATTTCACCATGTCTTTCGGTCATATATTTATGAGTTGTCCATTGTTGTTATTAAAATTGATTAGAAAATGATAAAAAAAATTTTGCATTTCTATCCATTACCCAGAAAAGAAAAAGGGTACTAGTATTTGCTACAAAAAAAATGTAATAAATTTTATTTAATTAATGAATAAAAAAAAAAAGCAACTGGCGAGATTCGAATCAGTCACCAAAAGATTCGTAGACAGAGAATTTACCCCTAAGCTATCGTCCTATTTACTGGAATGGAAGGTAAAGTAATATTTAAAGTCTTAAGTAGGGTGGGCTTGCCCTACGGAACACAGAGGAAAGACTATTTTGTTATTTGTCTCATTTCTATCTACTGTGATAAATAGGACTTCGAAAAGTCCCTACTACTGTTTGTGAGATTAAGGATGTTGAGGCAATAGAGGTTTTATTGCCCAAGAAAATTTTTTTAAAAACTCTCTTCAGGTACCAAGTTCCAGGCCTTTCGAGCAGTCCCAATATTTATAACATTATAAATATCATTATCGAAGCCTTTGACTCATTATCATCATGCATAATTGAATCCTCTTTTTTTTCCTTATAAACATCGTTATTTGTTATAAAAAAATTCCTTCAGTCGTACATCATTTTTTACTCTCCTTTAGTGTGATTGCGTATGAAATTTGTCCTAAAAAAATTCATTATTACAATTAATTAAATAAAAAAAAAAAAAAAATAACATTGATAGGCTCGATCACAAAACCTACGTTTCCGTAGTCGAGCGTGTTACCTCTGAGCTGTTACAAGAATATCAAACTGGTTTTATAGCTTTTATATATGTTGCGAACAGCGCTGGACCTTTTCTATTTAAAAATTTGTGCTTGAAAATCGACTGGCTTAGGATTCTTGTAATGAGAGTAAAAGAGAACACAAATCTTATCTCTTTTCTCTCTTAGATTAAGAGGCGTGGCTGAAATAAACCGTTGCAGCGCCATCGCTCGGTGGGTTCACAGAAACTTTCATGTTGTGACCTGAGATTACCGACATGTTGACCGAAACTTCGTCCGGATTTTTAACACAGCATTGGACTTCTATACTGGTCTCTCTTCTCTGGTAGAAGTCTGTTTGACGCGCATACTCTCGCGCAGTTTGACCCATCTGTTCTACAAGCTGAAGACACTAGCGCCGCATAGTGGATTAATTTCCGGAGGGGTCACATTTTAACCAAAAAAGTGGGGGAGTCGGATAGGGCTGCTTCCGCCTAATCTATTTGAGTTAAAAATCAAAAGTAACTTAAACATTTATCAAGTTTGCTCCCTAGCAAGTATTTCAAAGCAGAAATAGAATAATTTTTATCATTGTATCAATTATTTTTATAAGAAACAACCAGACTGTTTGTCATAAAATCCTATGAAAATTTGTAAGTAAATGACGCCGTGCGATGTTCTGTTTGGTTCTATACGATTTTATTAGAATGAATGTCATCAGATTAAATAAGAAGTTATTGGTAAATAATTTTCATTAACATATCAATTTGTTTTATAAGAAACTTCAAAATTTTCGCCTGTAGATATATCTTTTCTGGGAACATTAATATGCCTTTTATTAGAGTTTTTCTTAATATTTCGTGAAAGGTTTGTTAGAGCAATTTAATTAATGTGGTAATTTATTTATTTATATATTTTTGTCTATTTTACATATTTAAGTCATAATTATCAACAATTTAGCAAGAATAGTTTTAATTTTTGTGCAATAATCTGTTTTATACAACTTGATTTCATACATCAGATATTTCAGACTATCCTGCGAGAAACTTACACCTGAGTTCTCATTTTTTATTGATGTATCATTAATTTGAAGGCGTACAATGATTATGTAATATTTTATATATTGATTAGTTCTTTATCCACGTGATGGAAACAAAAAATATTTATCACTATACAAAACTTTTTCATTTAAAAATGCACAGTAAGGAATGTTGAGTTTTTGAAACTATTTCGTTAAATGAATGAATTTTCTCTCTATTGTGTTGTAAATTCTATTAATTATTCATAACAATGTATGCTAAAAAAAAGTATTTAATACATTCCTTCTCATATTGTATTTCCATACAATTTTTCCTCTACGACATTTTATTTATCAAATGAATATAGATTTAAATAATGCTCATAAATTTTTTTTATAAGACATGACTATCTCTCATAAATGTTAATTAATATTGTTTTTGTTTTAATTACCTAAAAAGTGCAATCCCTATAAGTCACTTTCCTGTTAATCAATTAGATTGATTCATGATAAGTCACGCTTATATTGTTTTTCTGTTACAGTAGTTTGTGTGTACGCTAAATACATAATTAAATATACATATTGAAAATTATTCAATATTTTGGAAATTATTGTATATATATATATACATACATATATATACACAATTTTTAGTTGTACTGTTCTGGTAAAACGTAGGAAATGTCATCCCATGGATGTCTGTATAATCCTTGTTTGAGTCTCTTTTGATCCATATAGTGCCCTAAAAATTCCAAATAAATGTGTAAAATTATGTTTAGGCAATTAAAGTTATTGATTAAAAATTGATTTATTTTCATTTCTTTTTTTTTTTGACTTGAATATAAATAATCAATATAGATGATAGATAAAAAATATCATCCTGTGATTATAGAAAGTAAGTGTTTGGATTAGAATAAATTTTCGTTACTTATTTTTAATCATGTAATATATATCATCTATTGACTTTAAAGCTGTTCTTTATTTATCATTTTAATTTTTATAATTATATTGATTATTACTTTGCAAGATAATTGTAACAGAAATAACGATTTTATAATAGCATACGAGAAATAAAGTGAAAGCATTTTTGCTTTATTAATACTTGTCTATTTAATAATTAGTTATATAAATATGACGTATAAGTAATATAACAAAAAATGCAACATTCTTTATCTTGAAGTAAAATAATAAAATTATAAACTATTGTCAAACTCGGAACTCCATAAATTATGAGCTTTATGCTAACTTGTACACCTTATATATGTTAAACTACTTGAAATGGCTTTATTTATTGAAATCTTAAACTTGAAAAACTGTTATTGGAGTCAAAATAAAATAGAGCTGATAAAAATAAAAAAAAAACAATAAGTTATCTTATGTTTTTGTGAAATTAAAGAATCAGAAACCTTTGAAAGTATTTTCAATTCATGACAAATAAAATTCATACATCTCGGTACACACAAGCAAAAAAATTTTCTTTCATTGTTTTTAAATAGTTTAAAGTTTTTGAGATCAATATTATTTTTTTTTTTCAATTTAACATTACGTAATTCAATACAAAATTTAAAAAAATGTAAAAAGTATGAAATGATGCATATTACTACTACACAGTGCGTATTACTACAAACGGTTGCATTTGTAGAAACGTTTTCATTACATATTGTAAAAAAAATGTTTTTTAAGTGTTTCAAACAATAAAAATGTTTTTCAACTACGTCTCTCAAATTAATTTACATACTACTAACACATAATTTGTTAAACATACTCATATATCTACTAATAAGTAGACATCTAATACTTTTATTCAATTTTTTTTTTAATTTTAGATGAACTGATCAAGATATGCACATTTTACTTATATTTTTAGAATTAACAAACCTCAGTATTTTTTCGATTAATTTTTAACAGCTGATATTTAATAGTGTTTGTATACATTTTGAGTAATAGTTTAAATAGTATTAATGTAATTACTCACCAATAAATCCTATACTCCGTCCAAGTACGAACAAACTATTTATAGCTCCAATTTCAATATATTCTTGTGCTTCCTCTCGAGTAAATGATCCAGAATTTCTCAACATGTCAACAAATGCACATGCTATCATTCCATCAACATTCAATATGAGATTAGGTTTTTTACTTGTCGTAATTTTTTCTACTTCTAATGCATACTCTACAAGTGGTTTAGCTGGGAAATGTTCCAACACATATTCTTTAATTAATTTCACCCGCATATCAGGGTTATTTATGCTTTTAATACGATGACCAATACCCATAATAAGTTTTCCTTTCTTTCTGGTATTATTAACAAATTCCTGAGGATGAAGACCGGCATCATATGCTTCAGAAAACATACGAGCAGCACCATCAAGTGCACCACCAAATCTATCACCAATAGTTAATAATCCAGATACCAAAGAGCTAACAAGATCTTTTCCAGCTCGTGCACAAACAATTGTATTATGAGCGCCAGAAACTGCAGGTCCATGATCAGCAGTTAACATTAATGACATTTCTAAAAACTTACAATAAATAGGAGGTAGAGATTTCTGGAACCACAGAAGTGATACAACACCTCCGATTCCAACATTTTGTTTTAAAACTTCAGTTACTGGAACTCCAGCATACAAGAGTTCATGGCCACGTTCATCACATATAGAAGTCATAAATGAAGCAGGTTTTCTAATTAGTCCTAATTCTCGTGCCCAAGAATAATCCATAGGTACAGTGGGAGGCGGAACTTCTGGTTCTGGAACAATAACTCCATCTTTCACTAATTTATGATATACATTTCCAATTAAATCTCCAAGATTATCAAAACTATCAGGAACATACGCTCCAGCTGCTTTTAAAGCTGCATTTTTAGCGGATGCAGTCTCTAAATTACTATGAGCAATAGATCCAGCGTGACCAAATTGAACTTCTGATGTAAACATAGCAGCACAAGTACCAATACACCAGGCTACCAATGGTTTAGTTATTTTTTTACTTTTCAATGCTTCACAGACTTTATATTCTTCTATGCCTCCCACTTCTCCCAAAAGAACAATCAATTTTGCCTCTGGTGTATTTTGATATCGCATTATATGATCCATGAAGGTTGTACCTGGATAGCGATCACCACCAATCGCTACACCTTCAAAAACTCCATTAGACGCCTTTGATATAATATTATTGAGCTCATTTGACATACCACCGGATCGTGAAACATACGCTACACTACCAGGACGGTAAAGTTTACTATGAAGAATGTTATCCATTATTCCACCAGTATTACCAATTTTAAAACAACCCGGTTTGACACCTCCAACAGTTGCTGGACCAATTATTGTTACATTTTTTTGATGCGCCATAAAAATAAGTTTTCTAGTCATATTCTCAGGGATTCCTTCAGCAATTATAGCTATTGTGCGAATTTGCGGAAATTGTAGTGTTTCAACTGTACTTTCATAAGCTGAGCGAAGTGATGCAAACGTTACCATTACATCAGCATCTGGATGTTTTATCATAGCATCCTTCATTTGTTTATAAACAGGAATTAAAATTTCTTTGTGACCCCAATAAAATTTCTGTTTATGATCACCAACAAATGGATATACTACTGCTGCAACTGATGGCATTGTTCTTCTACAGACAAAATCAAAATCCAACATACTTTGAACTGCTCTTGTCTGCATTCCCCAAATAATTGCTCGGGTACTATTACTAAACAATTGTGGTAAACTAGCTGAATCAACTGAATCGCTGGATTCAATTTTAGGTTTTTCTGGTGATGATGAAGGTGAAGATGATTTAGTTAAAGGAGATGTTGGACCTACATCTTGACCTGATGGTAAGAGAAAATTTGCGGTAGAAAATTCCTGAGCTTCTGGATCAGGTATTGGTTTTTTCCCCATTGCCATACCACAAATTGCAGTCATGTGAGTCTCGGGTCCAAAAACGTAAACTGGAATCCCTAAACGACGACCTACTTCACGTATTATTCTAAGCCCCTCTTGATAATTAGGTCCAGCTCTTCGCACAAATATACTTATATCATGTTCGACTAATTGTGGTTGGAATTGTTGCAATGATTTAACGATTCCCTTAAATGTAGCAGCAACATTGGTAAAATTTGCAATACCACCACCAATAATTAATACTTTACCATGTGGATGTTTTTCTTTAGTCATAAGACTCAAAAGAGTTTTAGCATATTCATAGGTTTGTTGTTCGCTTGGTGCACCTGAATATTCTCCATAATTAGCTAATTCATTTGCTCCACCAAGATTACAAATTGTATCTGAATAAGTAACTGAGGCTCCGCCACCAGCGACCATCGTCCAAATTCTACCACGTGGATTTAAAATAGTTAATTTTAAACTTGCCCCCGATTTAGCATCTAGATCAGCAATATAAGCTTCTTCTGGATATGCATCTCGTCCAAATGGGGGTGGATAATCGATTTCTCCCCAATCCGGTCGACAAATAAAATCAGCAGTTGTATCCAGCTTTGCTGCAAGATCCAATATATATATAGAATCTTCAGTAACAACTAGTGGATTTATTTCTAAATACGTGAAATACAAATTTACGTATAGATTATAGAGTGCTTCAATAAATTCAGCTATCATTGGCTTTTTAAAATCTGGAACATTAATAAGAAGTTTTTGAATTAAGGTTTCTCGATCAGGTAATTCTTGATTTACTGGAACATCAAGTTTTAAAGCCTTCGCATCAACATCACCAACATCAACACCTCCTTGATGATAGAAAAGAATAGTATCTGCAGTTCGATGAGAGTAAATACATAGATAAACTTCTTCTTCAGATGTATGACTCACAAAGGGTTCAATAATGAATGTTCTAAGCTTTCCATGAGCTTTTTCAATCTGAATATCTTTGTTTATTCGTTCCATCACCCATTGTTGAGCAGTTGGTAGATCTACATTTACTTTGATTAATCCAAGTTTTCCACGTCTTTTTATTAATTGATCTGGTTTAACAACTAATTTTTCGGTCTTTAACCAAGGATGTTCATCAGCAATTGTAGACCAATTAGTTGTTTCATTTATCGTGACTAATTTACATTTTGCTGCTTTTGTTCCATTTTTGAGTTTTCTATTGATTAAATCTTTCCCTGTTGCTTCTCGGATCGCTTTGGCTGACATTTTGTATATTTATTGTGTTTGACTACAAAAAAATTTAATTTTTGATAAAATCACATGAAAGATGCTTTGAAAAATTATTATTATTTGTTAATTAATGAAAAAGTATAGAATAATTTTTTTGTGTTAAATTTCAGTTATTGAATAATTTCAGCCAGAGTTAATGATAAAAATTCCAAATTATAACAATAACTTTATTTGTAAGTATGATGCCAGAGTTTTATTGTTTTTTACGTGTATTCACTTTTCTAAATCTCAATACAAAACATTTTACGGCTAATAATTTATCGAATGTAAAATAGAAATCTTTAATTTATAAAAACTAAATTTACATTGAGTTTCGGAGTAGAAATGTAAGAATAGTGCAATTCTAAATTTAAAAATACAATTTATTAGTTTAAAGAGTAATGGTCATTTATCCATTTGTTTAGTCATATTATATTGCAAACTTTTGACTTTTAATTCTTGAATTATAGCAGTAAATTAATCGTATTATTTAAATACTTTACAAGAAAAAATTTTGTTGAAATTTATATCATTAGAAAAACTGAATAGATACTTGAACGTAAATAAACTTTTTAATTTGCTATTTACGCATGCATCATAAATGCAAAAGTCAATGTCGTAACATATCGTATGATTTGTATAATCTTTTTGATTTACTAACATAATAGTCCTAAAAATTAATAAAATTTAATTGACTATCATAATCATTAAAATTTCTTTCATACAAAAAAGGATCAACATTTACGAGAGATGAAAAAATTTTCTATCATCAAAATTTGCATTATTATTCACATCGTTTATCAGCATAGCTTACTGAAAAACTATAATAATAAAAAACAAGGTCAAGGTTACAATTACAAGATATATATGAAGACAGTTAGTTACATTAAATGCAATAAATTCAAATTTATGAATAGAATATGAAATCATTAATGATTATTAGCTTTTTAAAAAATATTCACCTTGAATTTTTAAACAATATATAGTTAAGGAATACTTAAATGTTTATCGTCGTAAACCATTTCAATAATCTAATTGTAAATTTTAATTTGAGTTTGAATTTTTTATGATGTGTATAATTTCCTGCTTTAAATGTACACAATTCATGTCCTTTTTTTTGTTTATTCTATCTTCGATAGTATCATAAACACCAAAAAGAAATTATATTCAACTCATTATAACTAAGATGAGAAAAATATAAATAACAAGTTCAGAGACAATCATAACAAAATGATAAATATAACATTTTTATGAAAGCGTAAAGGTAAACGTGTATGCGATGAAACAATTTGCGTACACTATACTGATGTTTTTGATTCATAATCGTCGACAATTTGTAAAAACTTCAGATAAGTAGAAAAATAAGTCAAATCTATTTATAAACAGGATAGATAGCATAACTTTGACAATATTTCAATTATTTATCATAATATTTAATTAATTACCAGTTATAGGATGTATTTTTTCAAATTTTATTTATTACAAATTCAATTTATTATAGACTGATAAATGGAAATCTAATTATTAGAATTGTCTTTATTTAAAGTTTTTAAATATTAACTAGTACTCACGCTTTAATTTATAAAATTAATTTTTTCTAATGTGAAATGGAACATTAAGTAGATAATAATGTTAAAGGAAACTATGAAAATTTAAACACTTAGTGAGTACATTTCCACAAAATTAAATACTTTTAAGAATTTTGAATTAAAGTCTTTCAAATAATAATTATTGAAACCATGATTTGGTTTTTTACATAAATTATAAAAAAATATTGAAAAGATTGAAAAGACATATTTCTAAAAAATTGACCATTAAATTGAAAAGAATGTTCATGTAATGATTTTACTTTTAACCTCTCAAGTCAATCGTTTCAGTCGGCATTTTAAGGTCAAGAGAAAGTAGAAAGTGTCAGTATTATAAAAATAGTTAATATTCAATAATAATAAAGTATCTTTACCAAATGCAATTCGATGATTTATATTTGGAACTAATGTTCGACTAATAATATTTTTGAATCTTACTCAAAATATGAACTCAATATTTAAAGGTTATTTAAGACGTTACAAAATTGAAGAACAAGCAAATACATTTACTCAGAACGCACGCGCGATATTAACTGATTGAAAGACGCTTCTCGTCTGATGAAAATGGTGGCATGAATGACCGAATGCTTTGAATGAAATTCCCTATATATTATTTATTTTCAAAAACAACATTTTTAGTTAACATTACGGAATAAAAATTATCTTATAAAAATTAATTTTTAATATTCATCAAAATAATGTTCATATTTAATAACAAATCATATATGTTCATTTAAGATATACATTTTTAAAGTAACAAGTAACTTGTTTAATTTCAGGGATTTTCATATCATAAGCACAGTGTCTTGTATTTTGATGACGTTGGAATCTTAGAATTACTTAGAGAATACGTCACATCGTACGATATTTAGACAATGATTGAAGAAAATGATTCCATTTTCATCCCACTTAAAAACATAAAAGAAATCAATGAAATAAAAATCGTAATCGAATAATTTTTATATACTTGAAAATTACCAATGATAAAATTAATTCGACTGCTGTTTTTCTGAAGAAACAATTTTTTTTTTTAAAACTGTGTATGTAAATACATGTATATATATTTTATAATTACGATAATTAATTTATTACTGAAACTTTTGACATTTTACATTTTACTATTATAGAAAATTATTACTCAGCAGTATCTTACACTGTCAAAAAATTTTACTATAGAGAATTCTATTGATCACTAAAGTAATGTAAATTCTTATTTCCTATCATTATTTTTTAGGGGTTTAAAAGATAAAAAAGTTCCGATTATTAATAAAAACTTTTATATAATATATTACTTATACGAAATATCTTACAATATTTTACACTCTCCACAAAAAGTTTAAAATATTATTTATCGTATTCGTCTCTGTGTTTACACTGTGTTCTGTAATTTTTTAATTACATCATGTGTATGTTCAATTACACTATAGATATAAGGCCGTTCCATAGGATTGGTTTTCAGCATTGATAAAATTAAGTTTTTGATATCCTATTGAAAAAATATCAATCACAAAAGGGTTAGACTATATTTATAATTGAGATTTTGAAAATATTACCTCATTATAACGCTCATCTTCGGGAAAATTGATGTTTGCATTAATTACAGCTAAAGCTATGCTATCACCACGTTCATATACATCATCGAAAGGACATTTATAGTAACATAAGGCATACAATATACATCCTAATGACTGCAATAAAATAAAATCCATGATAGAATATAAGAATTGATTAGTATACTAGGATACGAAGATTTTATGCTATAATTAAATATTACCCAAATATCGGTGCGTTCATCTATCATACAATAATTTTCAACATTAAATAATTCTGGTGCTCTATAAGGCATTGAACACCTTTCTGCTGCAAAATCTTCTAGTGTTTGAGCTTCTTGTGCTCCACATATTTTTACTCGAGCAGGTGCAACTGATCCTGTTGAGTTATCAAAAATAAGCAATTTTTATAAAATGTACATCGATCATAAGAGAAATAAAATAAATTGACAATGATAAATTTATATTCATTTGAAAGTAATTTTTATCTCTTTTGTAACTTTTAAAATAGTTATTAAAACCATGAATTGTTTGATTTTGTAAATCAATTAAAAAATAAAAAAAATATTTACCTAGATCCATTATTATAGGTACATATCCGTTATCTAATAAGATATTTGCAGTTTTTAAATCTCTATGAGCAAGTGGTTCAGGTTTCATATCGTGGAATGCTTTAACTCCTTCACATATATATTGAAACATATTTAATACATCTAGTGGACTGAAAGGATCATTTACTTTTGATCTAAGCTCTAATTCATGTGCCAAAGTTCCTCTCTGAAAAATATTATTGTAATGTAAAATTTGTATTAAAAAAATTTGTATCATAAAAATAATAATCTGATCGTTTCTATATTACATGGTAATAAGGTAAGACAAGATAAACTTCACTTGTGTAATTCATTGGAGAATCAGGACTACTTTTTTCAGCATAATCTATACATTCAATTATATTCGGATGTTTTAAAATTGAATGGTATTCAACTTCCTTGGTGGCTATCTGTTGATCTTCTAAACTGTGACACATAATTTTTTTTATAGCATATTTCTTTTTTGTAAATGTATTTTCTACTAAATGGACAGTACTAAAACCCCTAAAAAAATTAACAACTTTATTATTGTTGAATTAAAATAGCCTATACATAACTTGTGATCTTAAAAATATTGTAAATTATAAGATCACATAGTTTTATTACTTTATTTCATTATTGTATTGATTTTAACAATTATATTTATTTAAACGATTTGAATATAGTGAAAAAAATTCATTTACCCTTCTCCAAGATCATCTACAATACGATATTTCTTTCCATTTATCGTTATAATTTTTTTAGAGCAAAAACATCCTATTGTTGAAATAAGATTCCAATCTATGTAATCCATATTTTAAAATATTATTCTTGTTAACAGTAAAATACAATGATTTTTTATAATTTTGGAGTAATTTTAACATGAACAATATGTCAGAAAGTAATCTTTTTCTCTTATTAAATACTAATCACAATTTTTTAAGTATAAATCATTGTTTTAAAATATAATATTTGCAATGTTTTTTTTAATTAGACAAAGAGAAAAACATAATTCTAAATAATAATAGATATAGCTTATATTTCATAGATGAAACAAGTTCAACAAAATAAGATTTTCACGATTGTTATTTTTTCAATTTTTCATATTGTAATAATCGAGTGCTCCAAAACAACAACTTCGTTCTTCATCGGAAATTACTATAATAGAACCAACTTATACAGTCGAACTGAGAAGAGAGTTCCTCATGTGCTCTTGAACGCTTGCGCAGAAGCGAAAAACGTAGTAGAAGGGGTAAGAAATTAGTGGTGGAAAGCCCGAAAGCGTTGAAGCAACTAAAGAACTCTCTTCTCAGTTCGACTATACATATATATATATATAAGCAAATGACTGAACTATACACAAATACAACTCACCAACAACTAAATCGCTAGAAGCACATGCTCTTCCAATTTTTTACGGTTTTTTTCAATTACAATATAAAAATCATTATCAATTAACGTGTTTCATTACCCAAACATATAGAAAATGTATCTTATGTATTATCTTAATGAGCGAGGAGAACGGCAGTACACCTTGAAGGTAATTTTATTACATAGTTATGCTATTCTGTAATACATACTTCCATACAAAAACTTTTTTTCAATTTCAATCAACAAAGATTATTTTTACATAATTATAATATTTTCCTTTATCATTGATAATTTTCATTTACAAAATTTAAATGAAATATTTTTATTTATAGAAAGTTGATCCTAATGGAAAACCCACAATATCGGCACACCCAGGTATGTAAAGTTTTTCAACGGATTATATATATATTTAATATTTATAGTTACAAAATAAAAATTTTATGTTGAATGATGAAAAGTTTATATCTATGATTTCTAAAAGTTACATTTTTTTAGCTCGATTTTCTCCAGAAGACAAGTATTCGAGGGAAAGAATCACACTAAAACGTCGCTTTGGATTATTGTTAACTCAACAGCCAATGCCTACATATTAATTAAAAAATTTTGTAAGATTCATTTGATTTTGATAAAAATAATTACAATATTTTTTAACAAAAACCATTATTATTAGAAATTAAAAGACACTAATAAAGCTTTTTCATATAAAAATAACAAAATTTTTTTACTTGTCCCCTCCCCTTTTTTTTTATCTTTGTCGCCTCCACGTTTTGGAGTAAAATTTAAAGATTAAATTCTTTTCCATTTTTTGGTTAAATGTAATTTAATGTTACAATTATATTCAATATAGATAGAGAAAAAGTTAAAGAATAACATGGTGTACTTCTGTTAAGTCTTATTTACGTTGTTATCATGAAAAGTTAATTAATATTAAAAATGATAAAGTGTAAAAATAATTTTTACACTCACTGTACGTAGATTGTTGTTTACATTTGACTGTTATGATAGCGTTCAAGCAGTAGTCCAATACATAATAAATTTTTAAACAAATACAAAGTAAAATTTATTTAAAATAATTATATTAATGTTATAGACACGTATCTGAACAAGTGTTACTTTCAGTTGTAAATGAAAAATATGTATATCGTTTATTGCATAATTCAACATAGAAGTTAGGTTAGTTTTTCCTCCACCTGTTTAGTCAAAAAAGTAAGGAAAATATATAAGGTCTTTTTTTCTCTGGTCCAACCACATCGCCCAGTACATCGTACACGTAATTTTGTAAGTTATCATTATTTAAAGAAATTATCAAATATATTTACAATCAAATAAATACAATGGGCATCAGTGATGATGACAATGATGAAAATTATGACCCTGAAAAAGATAGTGATAATTCTGTTGACAATGACAGGATACTTTCTGTAAGTTTAAACCATTGTAATTAATAAATAGTTTTCGAAAATTTGTTAACGAAAAACTTTTCAGGATGAAAATAAAATTAATACAAACAAAAAAAATGTTATCGAAGAAGAAACAGGACACATTTTGCCTGGTGGTCACAGATTTGATAAAAAATTAATTTCTCTGAGATATCCAGGTAAAGTAATACATCCAGAGAAAGCCATAGAAACATTAGGAGGATTGAGTTCAATATCAACGGTGAGTTGTATAATATTTTTTATTAAATGTTAATTTATTATTATTTCATCTTGCGATTCGTCCAATTATTATTATTAGTTTCTTTTTGTATGTTGTAAAGGCTATAAATGCACCAAATCGTCGTTTAGAGCTAAGATTTAGACCATCTGATGGTTATTGCAAACCAGCTTGTGGTGACAGACATCAAGTAGCAGCTTTTTTACTACGAGTAAGAGTTAAAAAATCTCAAATTAAACAAATGAACGAATCATTTGAAACAAATTTGTGTAAAAATAATAGTTTATTTAATACTCATGAGAAATATGAAGAAAATCTAAATAATGATGAAAATTATCGATTGCCAAAACTGAAAGTAATTGGAAGAGTATCAACCGAGTTTCGCTTCTCTGGTCTTTGTGATTTTCAATTTCTTCCAATAATGCCACATCCATGGAAACCTGATAAAAATCAATGTATTTACGAATTAACGTATCCAATCGGAATTTTACCATATAAATGGTTAGACAATGAAGCTCCTTATTTTTTACCACCAGCGGTTTTTAGTAGAATGGATAGCGTGCAACAATACAGTTTAAAAACAGAATCTAAAGAGAGTGGTCCGGACAATGTAATAGGAAAAACAAGAAAGCGTCGAGCAGGGCTTGCAAATTTTATAACTTTTCATTCACCATTTATTCCTACATCACCACCAAAAGGAATTGAAGTGGCAATGAAAGTTAAATTTCTAACTAATCCACAATTTCAATTAATCCGTTCATTATTCGAAGAACGTCCCATTTGGTCTAAAACAGCACTTGTGTGTCGAACAAATTTTACAAATGAACAATTAAAAATTCTTCTTCCATCAGTAGCTTATTATTTTCTAACTGGCCCATGGAGAATAATGTGGGTTAAATTGGGATATGACCCACGAAAAGATCCATCTGCTAGAATATATCAAACTCTTGATTACCGCCTTAAGTCCATGCATGGTTTGGAACAATCAATTAAAGGTAAAAGAACATATTCGAATTATGTTCTTCCTTATAAATCTGCAGCAATGTCAAAACCAAAAACAGCAATACTCACTAATATGCAAACTGAAATACATAATATTAAACAAAGCAAAGAATCTAGTGACAATGTTTATATTTATAGAGAAGGGACAATTCCTCCTTCAAGACAAATGTTTTACCAGGTAAATTTCAACTATTTAATAATTTAATATTTTATAAATTGAATATTGAAAAAAAAATTCTTTAGTAAGTTTATATAACATAAGTTTAAATATATTTAAAATGATTATTAATACGAATATAAAGGCTGTTAAATATTCGATTTTCATTTCTTAAAAACATTTTTAATATATTATTAAAAATAATTAGTCATCTGATTAGAAATTCATAGAAAATTTATCATGGGATTTTTCCATTACATGTTTTTAAATTACTTTTAATTTGATACCCTTAAAGAATTAAAAATAATTTGGATTTTAGTATTGTGATGTACACGTTGAAGAAATTCAGGAAATGTTGGCTAAATTGCCAGATCCGATAGGAATAAAGTGTCATGAAAAACGAGGATGGCTACCGAGTGGTTTTAGTGACCACTGCCGAGAAATCATTAATAAGCAAGTCAGACTTGTTTTAAGAAAAAAAATGAATATACCTGAAGATCGTAAGTATAGATGTAATGGTTTTATTTTATATCAATTTTAATACGGATGTGTTTCAGATCCTACTTCACTACCAAAGAGAAAAGTATTTAAAAGAACAGCACAGATAAAAAAAGATGTTAAGAAAAACACTGCCGTCGAAAAACTTGAAGAAACTTCAACAAATGAATCCAATATCGATGAAGCAACGCAAGATAAATCTCAAGATGGTGAAAAATCAAGTAAAGAAAAAAATAATTAATACTAAAGGAAATTATGTGATGTAATAAAAAATTCTTTGTTTCATCTCATTGATATATTTTTCGACAATAAAAGATGGAAGTATTTGTGATGATATATATATATATATATATATATAGAATTGTGAAATAATATCAATTTAAATAATAATACAGCATATGGAGTTGTACGTAAAAAACTTTGTAAGAAACTAAATAAATTATTTATACTTTATATAAACTGTGTATACTTTGCATGAAAATATAACAAAGTAATATTTTTGTATTGTTTTTAAATCATTGATTTTAAAAACAGTGAATAGCATGTAAAAAATAGATTATCAATGCTTTTATAGTCGAATTCCCCGGTTGGTTCCTGCGATATAATTGAGAAGTTCTTCAGAGTCCTCACAAACAAATGGTTTTTCATGATAACAAGCAACGTCATGCCAAGCAATACCATCGTTGTATACATTATTAAGGACTGACATACATGATTCACTAGTGCCATTAATATCAAATTCGGCATTATCAGGTTGCCGTTGTTTCTTGTGTCCGGTTTGAGACCAGGGATTATATCCCCAACCATTAGGTATTTGGTTGGTTGGAGCCATTTTTTCACGATTTGCCGACCAAAACCATCCATATAGCGATTTAGGCTCTAAATCACGACGGTTTTCACAGCCCTTAAAGTCACACAGTCGTCCAGATGTCCAAATATAAGGAACATCGTCTAAAAAATTAGTATTCAAATTAAATATTAGACTTATCACATATCTTTAGTGTATTATCTAACACAATATTAAAAAGACATTGAAAGAAATGAAATAGTTGGATTTACTATGTAATATTCATTTTCCATTTAACATTTCATAGTTGGATCCTTATAGTAATAAAAAGTCTTAACTATGAGTTTCCAAATGAAAAATTAACGTTAAATAGTGCATCCAACTATACTGATTTTTTCCGTACAGATTTAAACAAATTTATCGTTAAAATAAAAGAATCATTTTTAGGAAAGGTTTATTTTTTTTTCTCTAATATATGATACGTACTTTGTTGAATCAATCGGAAGATCATATTATTTTCTTCTTGAGTTTCAAGAGATACCAAATCCATACAATATTCTCTACAGATGTTTCTTGCATCCAACCAATCAACCTTTTGATTTGCATGTGCTGGTACATGAGAACTTAAAAAGTAATTGTGGCCTCGGAAATTGAATTCTTTTGGTCCTGTAACATAATTTATTCACCTACATACATACAAGAAAAATTATTTTCCACAAATTATTTCTAAATTCATCAAAAATGACTAAATTACACCATAAAATTCAGGAAATTTATTTTTACAACAAAATTTTTTCGGTGTTTCAATGGCATGATGATGGAGTCATCAATCAAATTAATATGATTAACTAGAATTGAGCTTCAACAGGATCATTAAATACAAACTTGTTTTATATTTTGAAAAAAATTCGGATTAGAATTCAAACCTAATATTTGTTTTAAAAAAGTAAATTAGAGATAAAAACGATTGTAATTTCATTTTATTAATTTGTTTGTTTTTGTTGATAAAACAAATTTAATAGAATGTGTAATAATAAATTTTTAGAAACAATTCGTACAGTAATTTTTATATGTGAATCAAGTTTTACATCAATATTATATTTGAGATGGGATACAAATGAAGAACAGAAGATCGAAACAGCCAAATTGTATAGAGAAACTTCGAGAAAGTATTACACAAAGAGGTGTGGCAAAATGATGCCACGATGGCATATATATATATATATATATATATATATATATATAAATTTTCATTTTTATATTATTGTCATTTTTGAAAAATATAATGAAAAATTATAATGTATATATTGTGAGTGATTAAACATCAATTAAGAGAATGGAGTCTTTGGCAAGAAATTGCTATGATTACAAACCATCTGAAAGGTGTACATCTCCACAAATGACATGGGTAAGCAGTGCATTACGACACCTTACGTAGCTTGGAAATCATGTGACGATACACTCCCACGGTCTAACCGTTTACATAGACCTCTCACATCATTAAATGCCGTGGAAGTCTTTCTTGGATTTTTTTCTATTGGATTCTTCCACATTATCTTTCGTTTTTTTTTCATCATTATTATATTTTTCAAATGAATCAAAGTTTCATAGATGTTTTTCAAATTTATATGAGCTAATGAAATTTTTTAAACATACTAGAAATAAAGTTTGAAGTTAAGCGACAATTGATGATGATACTAAATTTATATAAAATGTATAAACATAAAAAAAAAAAACCATCATTATTGAATTAATAAATCACAGAAATGATAAATATTTCAATAACTGTTATGAAAATGAATCAATAAATCAGTTTGGATTCATTACATACAATATCCATTGAATATATTATAACAGCTATACCCAAGGTCTACTACTAAATTAATAAATACTTTCTTAGACATTAATATTCAGGTATCGTCTAAATATTCAAGTAAAAGATACATTTCTAACTGAATTTTTAGAAAATTGTTATCTAATATTTGTTGTTGACTTATAATAAAGTTTTTTTTTAAAACAATATTGTATAAATAATGACAGAGAGTAAACTTTACACATTTAAAATAAAGTATAATATATTTAGTATGAATCGGAGAGAATGTAGAAAAGAAACATATTCTTCTTCCTTTCTATTATTTTCAAACAAATTTCAAGTGTATTCCGTAACATTATGATCTTATACATCTTTACGTAAATCAGTTTTACGTTTATGTTATTACTGTTTCTTTCCAAACGTGTGTTACGTTATACCAAAACACTTCGTAGTGAAAGTGTTACACGATTACAATATTTTAAAAGAGTCGGATGTACTTATAATTTCGATCTCATCTTATTTTTTTTTTTGTCATTAACTACTCGGAGTGATAAATATACGATATAAATTATTTACATTTTATATTACATAAATAGAAAATTACATTTCCAGTATCAATGAGTTGAATAAAATATCATAAACGCCGGAGGGTTTTGTTTGACCGACTGACATCAATAAGAAGGTACGGAATACTGATGATTATACCTGTCTTCTTGTTAAACTTAGACAGTTATATACAGAGATTAATTTTTTTATAATTATTTTTTATTTCTAAATATATTGTTTTGTTTATTTATTAAACAGAAATAATAGAGACTTACGGTTCGAACATTTTTGGGCAATAGGGAGTGATAAAAATCTTCCAGGACGATTACTGTGTGGACGAGCTTCGTTAATTGCTGCATCTATATTCGAAATAGCTGCCAGGATGACAGCAAAAACTAATGGTGTTATCATCTAAACATTTTTAAAATGAGACGTTTTATTAGATTAAATAAAAATCATACAATTAAATTTAAAATTCCGTTACAAGAAAGAATATTTCGTTTTATTTTTTCTCTAAAATTTATTTGTTATAAATTAAATTGTGTTAAAAAGTATATTGATATAAAACAGTGCAATATGAATGTTTAGTACTTTTTTGAATGAAAATATTTCTTTTAACATTATCAAAACAAAGCATAAATTGCTTTTCACTATTATTCATATTATTGTTTGAACAGTAAGAAAGATATAAATTAATTAATTTTTTTTCATGAAGCTAAAAAATTTCATATCTTACCTTTTTATCTACAGTATAATATTAAATGATTTGAGGACAACAACGATCGACGATTAACTGACAGAAAATAAGAAAACGATGAAGTGATTGTCTGATTATATAGAAAATGCTTACCCCACCAATGTGACATTCAAATCCCCACGATTTTCAGATGCTAGACGTAACTTAAAATCTCATATTGATTAAAAAATAGATATTCTTTATTCAAATTTGAAAGCAATCCAAACAGTTACTTGAAGAAACGATATTTGTATTAACTTATAATTATTAATAACAAAAGAACATAGACCTAATTTCTATTAGTTAATTATAACTTTTTTAAACCTTATTATACTATTCAACAATTTAATAATATTTATTGATAAGGCTGTCGATTAACAATGATTATTTTATTCACTATATTCAATACAAATAACATGAAAATTTTTAATACTAAATAATTTAAACATGGTTATAAACTAATTTTTTTTTAGTTGATGTTTTGCGACTGTTAACATAATTGGGTAGAGTTTATTTACATATTCAAAGTGAGTTGTCATTCTTATGGAATTTAGAGTATCCTTGAAGATCGTCTTTCGAAGAAAGATGTATTCAGTATTAAGATATATGTATAATTATAGTCACTTGGTTGGAACACTGATACTAGTACGTGTTGGACTATCATCGATATATTTTTTTATTATAAGTGAAAAGTATGTAAAAACGAATATATAAAGTTATAGAAAACGATAACAAAAAGTAAAAAGAAAAGAATTATTACTTTAATAGTAAAATAAAATATTTAATGTAATAGAGGATACAAGATTTTTAAAAATTAGAAACCGCAATGACTTAAATACGTTACTTTCGATTTCTTCATTAAAGATGTAAGTTTTATAACCCTAGATGGCGGGAGAATGAAGGCAAAAGTCAGCGCTGAAAGTGACAAGGTCGACAGCGTCCAACTAACTTAAATTCTGCTGTCACATTGTTCGTTAATTCCGAAAATATTTTATTAAAATTTTATACTTAATTAAATTTTGATTTAAAGAATTGATTATAAATTCCAACTTTGTATTTTGATTATCCAAGTATTAAAAAATACTGTATCAGCAGTAGATTTTTTAAATAAAATTTTAAAAATTAAATCTAATTCAAAAATAAACAACTAAAAATTAAAATCATTTATGACAATGAAGATTCTGAACTTTTTTATAATCCATTTTTTCCTTGTGGTATACGAGGTTATTAGCTAATTGAAAAAATTATATAGATTTGTATAAAAAAGTGTGAATACTATCAACAAATATATAAGATTCTAATAATTTTTTTTTTGTTATTTCAATTACTAATATAGATATTCCCAGACAGACCTAAATCTCATAGTCATTCGACAGCAATTCTTTTGTATCAACTCACTTGCTCACAGTGATATATCTCAAGACATCTTTTAGAAGATAACTATTACTTTTTAACCAAAAAAAATTTTAATGATATATTAGAGATTATTCGTACAAGTTTTTGAAATGACTACTGTTTCTAACCATTTTAAGTACATTGTAGAAAACTTTACTACCACTTGAATTTTTAGTCTATTTTTGAGATTTCATCATGAAGTTTCTGTTTGTTGACTGTTCTAAAACGGCGATCAGTCGTCATGATAATAATTTTTATAAATTTATTTATTCAATGATTACATTGACTAGTAAATTTTTGTAAGTCAATACATCAAAGACAAAAATTTAGTAGACATTTTTTAATTTTAATCTTGTTACACGATAGAGCATATTTTGTCCCTTCTCATGGAAACTGGTGACCTCTGTTGCCCTCTAAGCTAAAACCTGCAATATCTAGAAGAAATCATGGACCAGAACGAGGCAGCATTCAACCCGAAGACAGCACGAGTAGCAATCCTCGCTACCGACCGTAGCATCCATTACCTACCATCGTCTACCACGGAGTTGAACATCAGTGGTGTCCTAGTCATGAAGGAGAGAACCTGTGCCAGGGAATAGAGATGTAAATAGAAGAGTCACCTGCTGGATTTTTGTTGGACAATTCTTTGGTTCACATTATGACATCATAGCTTTAGTTCTGTGAACAGATCATCAGATGACGTTCCTTCAACCAAGGAAATTTTTATAAGTCCCATTTAAAGTGCGAGTGGGGCTTCGCTTGCCCACGGAAGGAAAGGGACTTCTAGGCGGAATAGTGGGGATCACCGGTATGGAAGGGAGAAGAAAAGAAGAGAAACATGGGTCATGTTTCTCACTTATTTGCACCTATTGGTGGTTATGGTAACCCAAGGTTTACTGCAGGTAGCGGCGCCCATGGATTCAAACTTTGCCCGGCTCTGAATTAGACATTCAAGACTTATGAACAAAAAAATGCTAAGGTGAAAGATCTCAGAAAGTTTTCAAGCTTTTTAAAGTACTTTTATACTATTAAATACTATTACAGCTTAGCAATAGAATTATTCATTATTTCAGAAAACTCAAAATTTTCTTTATAGATAGAGATTTATATTTTTAAAGCTAATAATGCTTAAGGAATTTTTTTTTGATTTTTTGCAAATTTTTTACGCAAAAAAATTGCATGAAAAAAAGGTTTTAAGTATCGTTAGGTATTGAACGATGCAGATTTACTTATATCGTAATTTTTAAAATTCTTGAAATTTTTGCACAATCTCGTAATTACGCAATAATTATTTATTAATACTAAATAAACAATCATTACTTTATATTCCATTGTATCGTGATAACAATAGTTCTAAGTATCTAAAAAATTTTAAAAATTCATTTATAAGTAAATCTGTATTTTCCAATACCTAACGATGCTAGGAACCTTCTTTTTTATGGCATTGTTTTGCGTATAAAAATTCGCAAAAACTCAAAAAACAAGTTGTGTTTAATCGATAGAGAATTGAATTTTATTTGTATATAACAGCCTGTAATTGTTATGAAAAATGAAAAAAAAATCCAACAATGAAAAAACTCAAATCCAACGATCATTGACCTTTTTTTTTAAGTTGATAACAATTAAAGGCTGTTATAAACAAATAAAATTTACAAAAGTGGATACAGAGTTATCAGAGACCTCATCTAGTCGATATTTTACAAATTCCACTAGAAAAACTGAAATCTAACAATAATTGACGTTTTTTAATTATTTATAACAATTACAGGCTGTTATAAACAAATTATAGTGGCGGGAGTAGATAAAAAATCAATTATTTACTGAAAAATATTTTTTTTTTTTGATATTAAACTTGTTTTTACAAATATTTTTTTGCAGTTAAATACGTGAGATCTTTTTTTATTATTCAACCAATATTTAACCGGTTTTTAACCAATACTCAACCGTTATATACGTCTAGATATATAAAAAATATTTTAGTTATGTAGCTAGTCTTTAACTAGTTTTTAACTCATATTTAACTTGTTTTATTCAGTTAAATACCTAATATTCAACCGGGATTTAACCGGGATTCAATCGAGATTTAACCGCGAATATCCAGTTAAATACGCGAGTTTTTTTACTGCTTTTTAACCGGGTTTTAACCGAGAGAAAACGGTTGAATTTCGGTTCGATTATTCAACCTGTTCTTAACCATTTTTTTACCAGAAAATAACTGGAATTTAACTTAAATTTAACCGCGTTTTAACGATTTTTTAACCGCAGAATTGCAGTTCCTAGAAACCGCGAGGGATTAAAAGATTTTTTGAGAAAAAGTTAAATTTTACTAATATAATTACAAAGTATAAAACAGTAATGAATAAAATTACTAAAATACCAATCATCAAATATTTTGCAAAAGAGTTGAGTAACAAGAGAGGAAAGTGGTGTCCAGACAGTTTGAAGTTCGCTACACAAAGTTGATATGCAGGTAATCAATATAAACTTTAAATAATATTGTAATATAGAATATTATATCATATATTATATAACATTTCTTTCATATTTTTTCTAGTTTGATGGGAAGCATATCTTAATTTGAGGAAAGATCTAGGGATCCCACTGCCATCCTATTCAACTATTTGTAGAAATACAAATCAACTCGATTTCAAGCCAGGAATTTTGCATGATATGGTATCCCTAATGGAATCAAAAAAAAAAGTCACAAATCAAGTTCTGAAGCAGACTGTGTGGCGCTAATCGATGAAATGGATATCCAGCTTTCTGTGGAATACGATATTAGTACAGGTATTATTATTATGTTTATTATTATCTAATTTAATTTAATGTTGTTTATTTAAAATATTAACTTCCCAGTGGGTCCGATTTTGCGAATCCCGAATTTTGACATATATCCACGTTTTAAGGTTCCCAGAGTCGAATACGATCGTTTTCCAGTGGACGTCTGTGTATGTACGTATGTGCGTTCGGAATTATTTTTCGCCTCGATTATCTCGAGAACAAAAAATGATATCGACGTGGAACCAACTGCATTCGACACGTAATTGCGCAACTTAGAACTTATAAGGTTTCCAGCATAATCGGTCCAGTAGTTTCTTATGCAGAACCAAAAAACTAGCGAAAATGGAAAACGACCGGAATTTTGTAATTTATAAATTATACCATTTTTTAAACAAAATTTCGAAATCTTTAAAAAAATATGAATATTAAGTTGTTATGTAATTTTGCTCTTTAAAGGTGTCAATATGTAAACCATATGCTTAACCTTAGAGACTTTAAGTTCCTCTTTTTAGTCCTAGCCTTTCGACCAATAGACAGGGATGAGGGGATCTTCGATAGAGAAAGTAAAAATGTGTGATTTATATAAAAACAATAACAAAATTTTATTGAATGAAAATTATTGAAAAATTATAACAACAATTTAAACGTTACCAACAGATGATTCCTATTACTCTGGTCGAGATGAATTACAATTAATTGGTCCTTATTCGATGTTTCAGTCAGCGCAATTATTCACTTTTTCTCTCAAATTAATTTAAATATCAATTTAAAAATAATTTGACGATCAAATGAACTTCATACAAAAATTTACAAACTTTGAAGTATTATCAATACCATACTCAAGACTTATGATTTCAAGAGATGTTCCACGACGATCTGATCTCGATCTTACTTTTTCGACAACTGACTGATGCATCAAACCTTACGTATCTATTTAGTCGAATGTGACATAAT